GATACAACCATCGGTTAATCTGGGAGAGCAGAAGGAGGATCGGAGGTGTGGCCTCAAAAGATTACCTCAGACTCCAGGGCAAAAGGTCTGGGTTAATACCCATGTGTTACTCCTCCCACACCTTCTCTTAAACATGCAGTTCAAGTAAGACCAACTGTCAATTCCAGTCTTACCTTAAACATGAAAAACTGACTGGGGACTTTGGGTCAGTCACCAGGAGATGGTGAGTTCTAGTCCTGTTTTAAGCATGAAAGCCAATTGGGTGACTTTGGCCAATCACCAAGAGACCGTGAGTTCTGGTCCCACCTTAGGCGTGAAAAATAGCTGGGTGACCTTGAGTCAATCATCAGGAGATGGTTGAGTTCTACAACTATTACCTTAGGCATGAAAGGCATCCGGGTGATTTAGGGCCAGTCAAGTCTCTCTTAGCCCAATCCACCTTATAGGGTTGTTGTTGTGGGGAAAATAGGAGGAGGAAGGAATATTAGATATGTTCACCTCATTGAGTCATTTATAAAAAAACAGAGGCAAGATAAAAATAAAATAAACAAGTAAAACATCATTGATCTCACAAAACATGCATGACTAAGTAAAGTAAAGAATAGGATTTGGCAGAGGGTGTGACACATACATATAAGGTGGGGCTCCTGTCTTGATATTGCCAATCGTGACTCGAATGTCATCATCATCACTGTCGCTCTCCTCCTCCTCATCTTCCCCACTTGGGATGAGCTACAGCAAAGACAGTAACATGTCCAGCATGAGAAACTAAACCCGGTTAGGTGAGTTGTCACCAGGAATAAAAGAGAACGTGAGGAAAAAAAAAGAGTACAGGGAGCTCCATCTTATTTGGATTTGGATACCACCTGATTATGTATTATCAGATTAGTGTTGACTGTTGCCAGCCAGAGAGGCAACTTTTTCTCCATGACAATCTGTCCCTAAGCTTTTTCTTCCAGGTCTTCCAACAACGCCCCCACACCGTTGTATTTGGGCTGATGAACCTCTCTGCTCCTCTTCTGCTTTCTTCCATCCTACTGAGCCTCAGAACCTTCTCCAAAGAGACAGACCTTCCATTAATCCCTCCCAAGTAGGGTAATTTGAACTTCAGAGATCTTTTGGAAGATGTTTCTTGTTTTTCAATGTTTTTCTACCTTTAGTGTCTTTACAGCAATTGTTGTAACACTACTTCTTGTCTCTGGAACTCTTGCTTAATTGCCTTTCAGGTTTTTGTTTTGGTTTTTTCCTTTCTCTTCCCTTCCTGTCAATTTCCATGGTTTGTTCTAAAATCCAGTTTTCTCTTCAGACGTATCTTTTCACATTCATCCTTAATTACTTCTTTCAATCCAATCCAATCCATGGTTCCTCTGGTTTTCTATTAATTATCAATCAATCATATATGTATTACAGTCATAGACTTGCGTGGCATCTATCAATGACTTCATGACGTGAAAATAACTTTTGATGTTCTGTGTGAAGATAATGGCCATGTGCTCAAGACCAAATAGTGGAAGCTGGATGACTTTCTTCCTCTACTTCAGCTTGACCCTCCCATGTCTGCTCATCTCTCCCAGGAACACCCCAACTCTTGCCAGAGTGAGGCAGCAAAGCAGGACTTGAAGAGGTGGGTCCCAACTATTTTTAGTGTGAGCTCTGCCTGTCCCTGACAAAGCTCTCTATGGATTTCTCCTGTGAACGTAGCCAGACCTTGACAGGAAAATATCCAGTGATTGTCTATGCTAGACAGGACTAGGAATGAAGTCCAACACATTTGCCAGACACATGATTGGGAAAGGCTGTGCTGGACTTTCTACTTGAGGACCATCACTTACCTGCTGCAACAGTTCTTGGTCTTCACTGATAACAATCCTGGTCTCCTTAGGAATGTCTTGCAATGGATGAGATTCGTTGTGTCTGATAAATGTAAACACAACAATAAGGGCAAGTTTCTCCACCCAATAAAATACAGATTACATTGGTCAATCAGTAGGACAACTGACCCTCCAGCATGCAAAGTATTCCTTTCTATGCAGATATCAACATCCAGGGTTATCCTTGGCATGCTCAACTGCAGCCAGAACAGCTTCTGCAGGGCCCTGGACTTAAAGCTCAAGGTATCCATGGGGCGATGAAGGGACTTGGCTGACCAGGAACAGGCTGGCTTTCCAACTACCTGGATGACTTTTGCGTTGCTTTCACGAGTTCCTATCCCATCTTCTTTTTTTAGAAAAGCCCAAGTCAGCTAAGCAGGCAGTCAGGAAGCAAGCCTGTTCCTGGTCAATACATACATACATACATGCATGCATGACTAAAACAGAGTTTAGAACTACAAATGTGAAAATAAAATGCAAATGAAACAGATATATGAAAAGCATTTTTGGGCTTTTCTTAATGAGGTTTTGATGCTGGGAATAAGCAGAAGTGACAAAGCTACACTTAAGCTTTTACAATTAATGTAACTTAACATTAATTTAATCTAAGGTAATGTAAATATAATGTAATAAAATTAACTTGATGTAACATCAAGTACCTCTGTAACTTGATATGCTCCGGAAACATTATATAGTATTATATAGAAATGCTGCATTCATATATACATGATATATGCTATGATGTTCAATTAGCATGACAAAAGCTTGCCGGCTGTTATGGAGATTGAAGTCCAACAGATCTGAAGAGCATCATGTGACAGAAGGTTGGCTACCTGACCTAAATATGTTTGGTTCTAAATGAAAAAACTGAAGATTTACCCAGATATTGGTCCATCTTCTGCCTTTCCATTGTCATCTGAAAATAGGGAGAAAGACAAATATTAATTAAAGGCAAAGATAAATCATTCAACATTTGTAAAAAAGAACTCAGTGTAGTCTTATGAGGTGTTCCTATTGACCAATTCCAATGGAATATGGAAGGGTGGTGGGATGTGGACAAAAAAGTGAGCGAGAAGGAGCAATTGCTTTCCTAGACTGTCCCTGTACTCCATCTCTTCCTAGCTTATGTCTCTCTTCTTCTAACTACATTGACATCCAAGCACCAATCCTTCTTGAAGTCGCCTTTAAGTTGATCCAATTCTGATGACCAGGAATTTTCTATGGAGTTTTCTTGGCAACCACATAGAAGTGTTTTGCTGTTGCTTTCTCCAAAATATTTTGTTGTATTTACAACCTCCAGGTTTTCCAACATCCAGATAATCCCAGATCAGGAGACAGAAGGCTCTCAATTTGCAAGAAAGTAAATGCCAGCTGAACATGGGAAAAACATTCCAAGGATAAGTGAGGAGAGCAATTTGGCAGTAGAAGCAGTGACCAAGCAAAGCCATCGGCTCCCTTTTGCTGGGTGCGTTTGGACAGAGACTGGACATCTTTCTGTAGGGGATGCTTTAATTTGGATTCCTGCATCTAGCAGAAATCTGAATTGAGGATCTTCCAACTGCAGGATTTCCAAATGGGCAGTCAGGGAAGTTTTCTGCAGCCAGTGCAACAAAACCCATCATCCTTTTGAACCTGTGCCTGGACTCCACTGACTCTGAGGGTTGGTAAGGAGTCATCCTTCAGACATTCATAATTAGTTTAATTAAGAAATCAGGGAGGAAGCCACATTCAAAGTCTTTCCTGCATCACATTTCCTGGGCAAAGAGGATGCACATGATCTGTGGCCTATTTTGATATTAGCAGGCTGGCTGTATAATTTATGTTTATACAAATGGATCTGCATGCCTCACTCATGTAATCCCCCCCCCCCTCTCTGTGTGCAGTAGAAACTCTTTAAAACTTTTGCAAGATAGAATATAATATTTGTCGCTCAGGTTGAACTGTGGAGTCCTTGGTGCTCTCTGAGCTTTGTGGTTTTCTTGCAGACATTTCATTATCCAACTAGGTAACAACATCAGTGCAAACGAGTGTAGGGTTTGCTGCCTGTTTATCTACAGTAGCTTAACCTGGCAGTGTTGGTGAAGGGGTAGGTTTCCCTGTGGCAGTTCCTTAATTAAGATACTGTTTTCTGCTGGGTTGATTGTCTGTGTTAATTCCTGCTTATCTGGGCATTGTCTGTGGGAGAGGACGTGTTCTGTTCTTTTTGAGGTCTTCTTTTTGTTACTTTCTTACTTATTATTGTCTCTTTTAAATGCTGTGTAAATGTGGCTTATCTCGGTTTACAGAATGGGACAACTTGCCATGGCCAACTGGCTGCAGGACAATTGAACTGAAATTAAATTAATTTTGATGGAACTGAATGAAATTATTAATACAGTGTTAAATTGTCCCACAGCAAGGTGGCTGTGGCAAGTTAGCTGCAATGAGTTGTCCTAGACCTCTCTGTCTATGTGGTGGCTACTACATGTTTATTGTGTTTATGTATCTATGAATGGCCGACACATTTATTATATTTTGTCTGTATTTCTATGGATGTCTGACACATGTTTATTGTGTCTTTGTGTCTATGGATGACTGACACAATAGACCCATAGAGATAAACCAGTTAAGCAGGGACCAACCCTGAATTGTCAAGCAGGTAACAATACTCTAATCAGGGAACTTGGAGGAGCAACACTTCCACTAATCCTGTTACGGCAATCTACTATACATAAACAGGGGGCAAAGCCTACATTCTCTTGCACTGATGATGTTACCTAGTTGGGTAACAAAATGTCTGCAGACAAACAACAAGCTCAGAGAGCAGCATAAAATTCACATTTACTATACCGGGATAATAGCAATAGTTCCAATCAAGCCAGATGCCAAGGAAGTGGCATTTTTCTCAGTACTGATCTGACAAACACCCTACGAAATTTAAAAAAAAAACCCATCTCTTGATTGTGATGGCATGTATGACAGTTCACTTCCTCTATACATCATGTGCCTCCCTCCTTAAGTGCTGTGCCTGTTTAAACAGTTCACTGGAGAGATTTGCTATTAATTCATCTTGCGTTCAATTACCAATCTTTGTTTATTTAAAGCATTTCTGCTTCAAATAAAAAAGGATGGAAACTCTGCACTGGTGGCGTCTGTGCAAAACCAAAGACCAGGTTGCATCTTCTCAAGAGTAACACATGGCCTGAAGACTCAGTTCTTAGTATTCTTTTAATAGAGATCTGGAACCAATAGGCTTCAACACTGCGCCACTATAATAATCTAAGCACATTAGAAAAGGGGGGGAAACCCTATTTATCCAAGTAAGGTTCTAAAGGTCCCCAGAATGTTATTTTTGATACCATCCAAGAGATCTGTTATGGTTTACATGACCTAAGGAAACAAAACTGGATAGCTTTTTGTTGGTATATGTCTAAAACACCTGGCTAACTAGGGACTATCATCACACCAACAGTTTTAAAGTCTGAAATAATATTGCTAAAAAATACAGCATAAAAGTCACTCTTGATGACTGCCAGGAAACCCAAAATATAGACTGATGGACACTTTATGTCTTGCTGAGACTCCTGATCGATAGGTAAGAGTTGGCAGTTTAAAATGTAATGAAGACGGGGTTTTTTCTGAAAGGGGCAGATGCAGCCACATTTCATTCTTGTTCCCCTGACTCAATACTCAAAACTGTGAAAAGGATCTTGGAGTGGACAATCACTTAAGTATGAGCCAGCCGTCTGCTGCAGCAGCTAAAAAAGCCAATGTAGTCCTAAGCTGCATTCACAGAGGGACAGAATCAAGAACACATCAAGTGTTAATACCACTTTATGCCTTTTTAGGATCACACTTGGAATATTGTTTTCATTGCCGCAATATTAAAAAAATGTTGAGACTCCAGAAAGAGTGCAGAGAAGAACAACAAAGATGATTAGGGAGCTGGAGGCTAAAACATACAAGGAATGGGTTGCAGGAACTGGGTAGGTCCAGTTTAAGGGAGAAAAGGACTGGGGTGACATGATAGCTGTGTTCCAATCGAAGGGGCTGTCACAGAGAAGAAGGGGTCAAGCTATTCTCCAAAGCACCTGAAGGCAGGACAAGAAACAATGGATGGAAACTCATCAAGGAGGGAAGCAACGTAGAACTAAGGAGAAATTTCCTAAGTTAGAACAATTAATCAGTGGAACAAATTGCCTTCAAAAGTTGTGAATGCTCCAACACTGGAGATTTTTAAGAAGAGACTGGACAGCCTTTGTAGGGAATGGTATTGTGCAGGGGATTGGACTATAAGACCTCCAAGGTCCCTTCCAACTCTGTTATTCTGTAATTCTATTCTGTTATTCTTTATCACAGTAACATCTAGGAACGAAAGCAGTTTAAACATTTAGACAAGCATATTTGTCAACTAGCAATAGCAATAGCAGTTAGACTTATATACCGCTGACCCCGGGGATGCTGCAATGGTTGTATGTGTGAAAAACAGTCATGTCACTTTTTTTAAGTGCTGTCTGTTGTAACTTTGAATGGATGTTTGAAAGTCAAGACTACCTAGTACATCTAATGCCGAAAAGGGAGTGCGCACATGGGGTCATCTGGTCTGCAACCTGGAAGAGGAGCTGCCCAGGGGGGCCTGCTCACGCAGGAAAATGGAAGCCCAGCTCCTCCTGTTTCTGGCACTGCCACACGCCCAAAGGCCAGCTGATCGTCACACACGCATGTGTGCCAGGAACCCAAAAGAGGAACGGGCAACGCTGCATTCGCCATCACGGACCTACACTGTACTGAATGGCCGAGCTTTGAGGGCTAAATGAAGTCTCTGGCTATTCAGGCAGGATGCTAAAGCACAGTTCTAAAAACAAATAAATAAATAAATAAAAATCTATAGGAAAACCATCTCTGATGCCCAGAATGTTATTATATAAACCAGGAAATCTTGGCCTGATAGAAATGCAAGCTACTTTTTAACAAGGTTAAATACAAGGTTTGCAAATGGCTGGATTAACAATTGGCAAGTGTTACATTGTAAGACACAAAACTTGGTTTGTACTGAACCAAGAGCAAACAACCAGGAGAAATAAAATGGAACCATTTCTTTGGTACCTGTAAAAAGAAAACTAAAACTTTGCTCAGTATTATTTTTCTTCTTCTTTTGCTTATGCACCTAACTTTAAATCATGGTTTAATGCTGGGTTTCCCAGCTTTGACAACTTTAAGACCTGTGGACTTCAACTCTCAGAATTCCTCAGCCAGCAATGGCTGCCTGGGGATTTGTGGGATTTAAAGTCCACAATGGTTGGCTGGGGAATTCTGGGGGTTGAATTCCACAGCTCTTAAATTTGTCAAGGTTGGGAAACCCTGGTTTAACGTTAAACTACTGTATTGAAAAACCACCAATTCACTCCCGGCTATTAATACAATGAGAATAGTGGTGGCATTCAGCCAGTTCGCACCTATTCGGGAGAACTGGTTGTTAACTTTCTAAGCAGTTCAGAGAATCGGTTGTTGGAATAAATCTTATTCCCCCCCCCCCCACTTTACAGGGCTAATCCTGTAAGGAATGTAGGAACATTCTGGTGTTTCTATCCTAAACTTTATTGCCCTGCTTACAGAAACTACCTCTCTGATTAACCCTTATTACATTGTAACAGCTAAGGCTAAGGACCCATTGACACGAGTGACGTTAAATTGGCCACGCTCACCCAGTCACATGACCACTGAGCCATGCCTATCCAGCTGGTCATTAGAGCAGAGAACTGCTTGTTAAATTATTTGAATCCCACCATTGAATGAGAACATAGAATAATATCCACTTTTACCAGCTCCCCCTGAATTTCAGACTAGACTAGACTACAATTCTTGATTAGCCAAGTGTGATTGGACACACAAGGAATTTGTCTTTGGTGCAGATGTTCTCAGTGTACGTAAGATAATAAAATACATTCATCAAGAATAAAAAGATGCATCACTTAGTGATAGTCAAGGTTACTAATAAGCTATCAAATTGTATTAGGAAACAAATAAAAAGTATAAATGGAAAGATACAAGCAACATGGTTATAGTCATGAGTGCGGAGAGATACCATAGATACTAGGAAGGAAGAGAAGAATAGTAATACATTCTTAGCTTGGTTTTATCTGGAAGTCCTGTGCAGAAGGTTCCCATGGCATGTCCTTTCTCCCACCTCATTCTGGGGAAGCACGAATTCAATCGTTTGAATCCCCTAGTAATGCCACAAGCTTTGTTTGAATTACTTACTTGGAAGAGGACTCTTCCTTTTTTTCCCACCAGGCATTTCAATTTTGACCAACAGTTGGCCCTGAATGTCTCAAGCAGGGTCATGCAGCTGCCTCATCTAAAGTTCTGTTCCCTTTGAAGGGCCATCCACTAGGCCGTGCTTCCCTTTATTCCTAGAACTGTCCCCCATGGCAAGCCACCTCTCCCAATCCCTCTTTATAACCTCCCCAAAGTTTTTGAAGTCTCCACTTAAGCATCATTGTTTGCTGTGATTAACTCTAGGGAGGTATCAACCCACCTGAATGTAGATTCTTCAACCACCCCTTAAAGTTTAAGCTCTCCTTCCATTTGTGACCTTCTCCTTGGTGCTCACTTTCCTATCAAATTATACTGTAACCCCCATGAGACAGGAAATCCTATTCTCCATTCATCTACAATTGGCAGATGATATGATCAATCTGGGTTGGACTATTGGACCTTGCCAGAGGTTGGGGAGAGCTTTCCCGAATGCTCAGGTGAGCTTTTACTTCCTTACTTTAAAGCAGGGCTCTCCAAACTTGACCACTTTGAGATTTTTGGACTTTGATTCCCAGAGTTCCCAACAAGCCTAACTGGGGAATTCAGGGAGTGTTAAAGTTGTGAAGTTTGAAGAGCCCTGTTTTAAAGCACTGACTGATCCTAAGGCAAAACCTGCTTTTATCAATCCCACCACTTGGTTCATACGAGAGAAGAGGTCAGGATCACACAACAGCCTGCATGAAATTGAAGTTGGCTACTTTGAGGTCCAAGTTGTTGTGTAAATCCAGCCCAAGTGTGAATCATTGTGAACCATCAATAGTTTCTTCTGAAAGTGGCCATCTGGTCTTTAAGAAAACACCAGACGCCACTTGTCTGGAATGGTCTGGGGTCTCCTGCTTGAGCAGGGGGTTGGACTAGAAGACCTCCAAGGTCCCTCCCAACCCTCTTACTCTGTTAAAGGGAAGACTGAAAGATTGTCAAGCCAGCAGATCCCATCTTCTGGAGGGGGAGGGGCAGCGGGGCGGAGCCCTCCCCACTTGCTGGGATCCCCAAAGGCTCTGACCTTGCTGTTGTGTCCCCAACCCTCCCTGCCTTTGGGGGTCTCACCGGGCCCGCCCTGCCTTCGTTCCCCCCCGAGCGCGGAGCATCCCCCAGCTGGAGGTCCCTGGCCCGCGCATTCCTGCCCCCCGGGGGGCGCCCTTGCTCAGAGAAGCCCCCGGCCCGCTCTTCCTCCAGACTGCCAGCCAGGGGGCGGCGGCCGAGGGCCCGCCAGCCCTGCCTCCAACGCGCCGGCCGGCCAATCCCATCATCCCCAACCAGCCCGAGCATCCTCGGCTTCCAAGCCCGGCGCGGCGAGCAGCCTTGTCCGGAGAGGAGAGCGCCAAGCTCTCCAACCTCCCGACGCTTCGCCGGCTGCCTCCAGCTCCGCGGCAACGCCCGGCGGGGGAGGCAGCCTGGGAATCGGCCGCCCCTGCCCCCGCGCCGCCCCCACCTCCGTAGAGCCACTGCTCCTCGTCGTCCTCCGCCTCCAGCTCCGCGGCCGGCAAGGGCTCCAGGTGGGCGGCCATGGCGGGGCCGGGCCGGGGCCGCGCCTGCAGCCAGAGGGACGAGCGGCCGGGCTCAGCGCCGCCCCGCCTGCTGCATCCTGCACCGAGCGCTCGCCGCCGCCGCCGCCGCCATCCCCGCCCGCCCTTTTCGGCTGCTCCCCGGAGGCGTCGGCACTCGCTCGCTCCTTGCCACAGAAAGAGCCCCGCTCCGTCCGGCGGGGGAGCCGCAGCCGGCGGCGCCCGGGCCGGCAGAGGGAGGCGGCGGCTCCTGCAGCGGGAGAGCGGCCAGGTCCTAGCGCCCCGCGGACCCAGGCCAGCCCCAGCGCGCCGCCCAGCTGCCAGTAGCCCGGGACGCCGCTTGGAGACGCCGCTTGGAGCCCGCGCGGGGGGCTCCGTGGGCGGCAGTGAGGCCAAGAGGGCCTCTGCAGGGGGGAGGCTGCGACCTGGAAGGCAGAAGGGATTTCCCGAGGGGGAGGGGAATCCCCAGGAAAAGAGACCGGACAGCCGTTTGTCCGAAAAGGCCCTGGCGGGGCTCCTGCTGGGCAAGGGGCTGGACTAGAAGCCCTCCAGGGGCCCTTCCAACCCGGTTGTTCTGTTAACCCGGGATTGGCGTCCCCGAGTGCCGACTCCTTTCTCGGACGGGGCTCGTGGATTCGAAGCGAGCGGACAGCCTCTCCACTCATCTCGCCCAACGGGGGTTGCGGTAATTTGGGTGCCGTTGGCGCCTTTGTCTGCCCTGCGGGGAGAACGGGAGGCTGGTGAGGGCTGGAAGTGCCACTCTCTCTGCAGGCTCCCGATTCCCCTTTGTGGGATGAGTGTGGGGTAGGTTTCAGCGTGTGGTGGGGCGGCATTGGGAAACTGCTCCCCTCCAAACCTCCAGGCTGCTGCTAGTCGGCCTCGGGTGCTCAGGGGAAAAGGCTGGGAAGGATTTGAGGACTAGGATGGGAGACCACTAGGTGTTTGCAGGGATGGAGGTGAAGTCGAAATTTGATCGATTTCCATTTTATTACAGAATAACCGAATTGGAAGGGACTTTGGAGGCCTTCTAGTCCAACCAACCTCCTCACCCAAAACTGGGTGGGCAGAGGTTAGAAATCAATTTAAGGCAAACTTGAACCATTTTTTTACGTTCTAAAATGCTTTACGGGTAGTTCTTGATTTACAACTATTCACTTAGCCACCCTTCAGTTACAGCCATACTGGAAAAAGTGATGGATGATCAGTTTTTACTGACAGTTGCAGCATCCCCATGGCCAAGGGGTTAAGATTCAGATGCTTGGCAACTGCCTTGTACTTATGACAGTGGCCCCATCCTGGAACAACATGATCTCCTTCTGACAAGCAAAGTCAACAGGGAAGCCAACTGTGTTACTAACTTAAGTACTACAAAGATTCACTTAACCGCTGTGGCAAGAACCCACTTAATATCTTGCTTAGCAACAGAAATTTGGGGCTGGATTGTGATTGTCAGTAAAGGAGTGCCTGTATTTGAAGAGGCCAAACCTTACCAAACCAAAACAGGCAGCAGTCTGCCAAACCCAGGTTCTGGCTTGAAACTCAGGAGAAAAGCTTTCTGGAAAGAGATTTGGGACCGTGGGGGTGCCCTCCGCTTGGCTTGGGGCATAAGGAACTCCCGAGTGAAGCCCCAGGTCCTCCGCTTCAGAATCTGTTGCGTTCTTATGATCAACTGACTTGCAAATCAGCTTAACTATGTTGGATGTTACATTGGCCTGTCCAATTAATTCCACCTACCATGGAAGAAATCAGCAACATCACATGTACTATGTCTAGGTACTAAGACAACTTAATGGTCAAGACCAGGTTTAATTCTCTAGCTGGGACTGAACCAAGATGTTCTTCCACCTCCTGGTTGTCTAGCTTTCCTTGGATTTCCAGCTGGCCAACCGCTCCCATGTTGGCTGTGCATGATGGAAATTTCATAGGAAGGGCGGTGGTTGTGGGAAGAACTTGGGAGAGTATCAGGCTAAAGGTTCAGCTCTGCGCCAAACATGAAAAAGTTGTTGACCTTCTGCAAGTGAGAGACCCCTCAGGCAGCAACCCCTTGCAGATGTTGTGCTTGCAGCTCCAGTCTTTCCTCGTGTTGGTTCCAGAGCTGAAGGACTACAAGCCAGGTTTATCTCATGGTTGATTAGTCTTGCACATTCCAAGGAGTAATAAGGATGCCTCAGATTCTTGAATGTTGACTAGGGGAAGGAGGCCACTGTGCTGCCTGTATGTTTTTTTTCAAGAACACACAAAATACTTAGGAAGGCTTCTTTCTGCTTTTCTGTAGAAGGAAGAAGAGGAATTGTTTGCAGGTTTCAAACTGAACCAAAGCCACATTCTTGGGAGGTTACACCCACAACTTTAAAGGGAAGTGTGTGGCTAAAATATCAGTGCAATTGTTCCCTAGATACAGCTTGAAGCCCTTAAAAGTGCTGAGAAAGCATACGTAGAGAAGTGTCCTTTTGTTTAAAAGTGAAATGCAAATGAGTATTTCCCATGTGGAAATGTATGTATGTATGTATGTATGTATGTATGTATGTATGTATGTATGTATGTGTATATATATGTATGTACAGCTGTATAGGTAAAAAGCCATATCATGAAATTACACCCACAACAGTTATTTAAGCATTTATTTTTTTTACAAAATCTTCAAGGCATGAGGTCCTATTTAAAAAAGTGGCTATTATTTCATAAAGTGTAAGGAAACATAATTAAAATGTATACAGATTAAAAGGAAGCTTCATGGATTTACAAATTATGATTATAACAAAAACAAAAATTCACAAAACTTGCAAAGTATGAATGTATTATATAACATTGTTTGCTAAACTATTAAATATTTACATTGAATATCAAAACTTAAGATCTTATTGCTCAATGCTAGTATTTTCAGGCTAATGCAATTAATTAGCATGATACTAAAATACAATATTCACAGATAAGCATACAACTTGTGTATTTAATCAAGACAAGAAAATCGCTAGCTAAATTTATTAGTGATAAATTTATTGAAAACTTTTCTGAGGTTTGGAATGAGACAGAATAAAGAATGCTTACAACGTAATACATTGGCATGAGCAATATTTCATTCATTTGGATTTTTGTAGAAGTGTGCAAGAATTACACTATTCTCATACTTATCTTTGTTTCTCAATTTTGCACAATAGGTAAAATTAATTACCAATCTACTCATCACACAAAACATGTGGAATGTTATACCCATAAACATTCTACATTAACAATCTTTGTATATAGGACGGAATAAATTAGAAGAAAGCATTAATGTAGTAACCCACTTCTCTGCAAACCATTTTTTGGGGGGAGGGGGAGAGCATTTATGCATATGATAATAAACCCTGTGACATTTTATAATGAACTCTAAATTTCTTAGGAATCAAAATATAAAGTCAAGACTCACTGCTTGGGGTTTTCCATTCTATCAAAGAAATACAATCTAAAAATGAATTCAGTACTCTATGTTCTTTGCTTTGTTTGAACAATTCCAGACATTTTCTCCACCCCTCCCTCACTAGAAGCCTACAAAATAAAAAGAAGGGATTTCAAATAGCCTAACCGCTGTCTTGAGAGCATCATGGAAGAAAGAAGTAATTATAAGCTGGACTGCTGAGCTTCGTTAAAGAATTGGCACAAAGCCATGGGAGAAAATAAGGAGCTGTATTTCCAAATTTTCTACAAGCTCCCCAAATTCTGAATGCATTTTTCAAGACAGAATTACAGAATTATTAAAATAAATTTGCCTCTTCAGGAATTGGGCTCAGATGTTATTTACCTTTAAGGCAACCACTGCTCTTATTTTACAGGCGTTTACGTTTATATAATCTACAGCCATGGTCAACACAGAAGACTGTCAGAACTTCATATACAGACCATTTGATATGACATCTCAAGAGCTACAGGAACAAACAGCAGCTTTTCATCACTTCTTGCAGCTTAGGGCAAAGTGAAAGGATCTGTTTCCCATATTCCACTGCTAATGAATCCTGGGGCAGGCATGGGGAATTTACACTTCCTAAAAAAGCCCCCAATTAGTACTGTGAAGGCCTTTGAAGCTAGATTTGCCCAAAGCAGAGAGTTTGGGAAACAGTAAAAGTGTCACAACACGTTAACCATTTATGATCAACCAACAACACTGAGCCACATTTGCTGTATTAGACACATCTTATTTGGCACTTGCATACCTGAGAAAAGATGCAAGTATGGCCCCTTTAACAAACAAGACTGGGATTCTACAGAGTGTAAAAACGGGAAGTATTTTTACTACATAATTAATTCCACAAAGAAAAGAAAAGCTGAGCTGGAAGTCAGTCCCATTCATGCCAAGGAAGCTGCTTCCACCTAGTATGCTGGGAAGGATGGTCATGGTGGAGACAGATAATTCCTACATCTGGATTAGGAGGTATTAAGTGTTGCATTTAGACACTGATAAGATCGGAAAAGCCATAATGTTTCTTGGCACAATGTTTAAAAGAATAAGGACATAAAATCTCCAGGCAAACCTGGCTTGGAAGGCGCAAGGGGTTTTCAGAAAGTGCTGAAGATCTATCCAAGGAGACTTTGCTAGGAGGAGGGAAAGGGTGATCTGTGGGATAACACTCAAATGAAGCTGCTCTTGCCTCAGTAACAACCTAACTGGAGGAGGTATACTATACAACATAACTCAGTAACAACAACATAAGTAACACATGCTAGAGTAACTTTTTCAGCAAGGCAGGACTTTTAACACTGTTTGTGAAAGAACAGGCTCAACTTCACCATGCGTCATATTGTCTTAGGAAAGTTTGTGTTGCTCTTCAACTCTCTTACAAGTCTACAAGCCTTACAATCCAAGGTATGCAGCCAAAAAGGTCTATGGATGATTGTTTTTTTTTCTTTAATTATTCTACAGTTCTCACAGAAGACATTTCCTCTGGAGCTTGGAGAAGAAAAGAACCATCCAGTTTGCAAACTGGCAAATGTGTTGAATTTATAACATGCTAATAAAGTCTTTGAGGCGATAT